CACTCTCGGACAGTTTAAAATGGGACGGGTGCTGCCCAGTGCCAAGAAAAGACGTGCCCGCTCTGCACCAGGTGCAGAGGACTTTGATTTGATTTGAGGTATTTGATGCTTATACTCCTTTCTTAATTAAATAAAGTAATGCTTAGGAGTGAGTGATCAAGCCACAAGCTGACGGTTGGACTTGGTGATATTAAAGGTCTTTTCCAACCTTAATTATTCTATCATTCATGATATCTATATCATGATTCTAAGCTGGTTTAACTAGATAACCTCCCCCTAGTTCTTTCTGGAGGATTAAATATTTTTGAAGTGTTGAGTATGTTCATCCCACCCCGAAATTTTTCCAAACACATCATAGCCCCTCCAGCTGTATCTGCAGGTTCTTTACAAATGAGTTTTTCTCTTTGTTTCACCTGAATTTTTTTCCTCTTGCTCATGTCTCCCAGCCAGCTGCCAGTTCTCCAGGAGTCACCTCGCAGGAGAGCCAGGCACATGTCGATGACAGAGAGGAAACACTTGTGCCAACCAGAGATGCTGAAGGCCACCCGGGGCTGTCTCCCCACACTCGGTCAGAGGCACACTTTTTTGGGATTACCAGAGTTTGGGAAATGTGTCTTTCTGTGTCTGTAGGTATCCAGAGTAGCTGCTGTCAGAAAAATATCTGCAAAACATAATTTGTCTATTGTCTTAAATGTTGAAGAAAAAAAAAGTGATTTTTTTTTTTTTTGTTTTGCAATAATGACAGTGTAAAGGCATATCTGAGAAGTGAAAAGAAAAAAAAAGTGTTCATTTATTATTTAGTACTTGAAACCACTGAAACCTGGAATACGAAATAAAGGTTGTTGTATTGCTCTGATGCCTCATGTACAGTGACATTTTAGTGTTAAACTACACTCAGAAAAAAATGATCTGCTGTCTTTCCATCCACTGCTCAACTTGCCACTGTCTTGCACACCAGGGTATATATTACAAGGGAGCTGGACATAAAGCTTAAATCACCTACCTGTTTTGCTCAGGGAAGTGGTGGAATCACCATTCCTGGAAGTCCTCAAAAAAATATATAGATGTGGCACTTGAGGATACAGTTTAGTAGTGAACATGGCAGCAGTCAGTTAGTGGTTGCACTCAGTGTTCTTAGAGAACTTTTACAATCCTAAGGATTCTATTCAGCTTCAGCAGTAGGATATACATTGCAATGTCAGGATTTTTATTCATTTTGCTCTGACGTTTGGTAATATCTTGGTCAGATATCAGACTTCTTGGTGATAGATACACAAGAATGAAGGGATGCATGGTCTTCTCTGCCCAGAAGAATCTAAAATAGAGAAAAATCTAAACCAAATATAAAACACAGGAGGTTCTGTGAACAGGAGACTTCACTTAAAATGCAGAGGGTATGTCTAAGGTACTAAATAGCATGAAAGGCTGTTCTACATAGACTGTCCTCTGGCTTTGAGGTCACCTGTCCTGGGCTAGTTTGTGTTCAAGCTGCTTATGACTGTGCACTCTCAATCTCCAGAATACTATGACATAAACTGTATATTGTGAATGATCCCTATCCACTGCTGGCTCACAAGTTATGTCTTGGCAGTGCTTGGGAGAATGGCACACGTCCCATACCAAACCCACAAACCATGCAAGGACCTCTCCAACAATGTAACAGCATAGACACAGAAGTTGCAGTGCTCAGGAATGCTTCTGAACACCATTTCTTTTTAACTTGTGACATCTACATGGGGCAGGTTTAGTGTAGGTTATGGTACAAATCATATTATGCATACGTGGGTACTGTATTTCAGGAATTCTGTGTGATTCTGTTTATAGCACATAGTTACACCTTAGCCAGGATATGATAGCTCAAGACTGTCCTTCAAGAGTTTTCAGCTCATGCTTCATAACATCACTGTCACTCTGTTAAACACTAAACTTGTAATCCAAATATCTGTACAGCTGAATTTCAAACATTTATCTCCCTGTACCTCCAGCTGACACTTCATTTCTAGTGGATGAAGGCAAATTTACTCTTGAGGGGTGGTTCTTTATAATGATCTACTTGTACATTTTGGTTGGTTGGTTTCTGTCTCCAGTTTTTCTAGTGAACAGAACTTCACCAAGTTGGCAGTTTAGTTTTAATCCAGGGGTCCTACAGAAAAGGGTTAAATTTTCTCTTTTTTTTCCCCCCCCTCTTTTTCTCATGTCAAAATGCTGTTTACTCAATCCTTTCCCAAACACAACAAATTTTGCTCTTTTTCCTATGAAAAGGGCAAAACTTGGGCACAACCCAAAGTGTTGTGTGTTTTTCATGTGTTGAAATTTAATTGTGATTCTGGGGTTTGAGTGCCTCAGAGGTTTTCCTGCATACACAGGGTGAACTTTTATAACCTCCACAGTTATACAGAACTATCCTAATAGGCCTTACAAGTCTCAAGCATATCTATACATACTATGAAAATGTCACACACAGGAATATAAGAGATTTTAGGACTTCAAATCACCTTCCTAGCAAATAGGAATGTATCTTATTTTTTGTTGTCCCCTTTGAAGAGATCAAAGTTCAAAGAATATATTAATTGCTTGTGCTGTTCCAATCCAAATTTTCTATGAACAGTCATACCTATGTTTACTTCTTATCTTTTACTGATTATGGGATTTAAGGTGCTAATAATGTAGCTTCTGCCATCACAGCAACCTGGAATTAAAATTAAAAAGTGATACATTAATTATTGGATTACCATCCATTGGTCTTATTCTTCTTGTTTCTGTAAGGAATTCCTGTAAGATAAAGGTGCTGTTTTCTGTGCCCTTCATACGTGCTGTGCTCACTACATAGGCCTTCATGAATACTTACACAGTGATGCAATCCTTTGTTATTCTCATGACTTATTGTCCCAAAAAGTCTGTTTGCTTGGATTAGGGTTATGTTTTTGTAATTATTCTGACTCACAACTCTGACTGCTTTGTTGTCATAGAGAGCTTTTCTTGCCACAGTCTGAATTATTTTTAACCCCGAAAATGTGAATTCTTTTTAACAGTTTCACCGCAATGAAAAGATAGAATGATTTCCTTTGCTTGCTAAATTCCAGTCACATCAAGGTTAATTATAGTTCTTCTGAGTGTCACCATGTATTTCTAGTCTCAGACTCCCCCAGACTGTCAGAATCCCTACATTACAGGAGCAATTCCTCAGCTCTACATCAGCCACAAGTTCTCAGTTTTGCTTGACTTGCTGGATAGATAAGTATATTAATCTTTTCAGCTGTCTTAACTTTTGGAAGAATTTTAACTTTAGTAAGGTTCTCACATGCTGCATTCTAACTGAGGCATTTTTGGTTATTTTTTACTAATTTACACATTTTTCAGGGCCAAGAAAAATACTGAGACCTATTCCTTCTTAGTACCTGAATCCTAACCAGCCTGCACTGTGATAGCACAAGTTTCTGCATAATGTAGCAACTCATCCCAAAGCCCTCTTTATAATGCAATAAAGAGTTTAATAAAATTCTGGATATAGGTATTTAGGGTCTGCAAGGCAGCTCAGCACCTGTCCTCTGTGCACTGAAGAAAACACTTCTGTGCACATCCTTCAGATGGAGTGTGATAAACTCTGTCCAGTGGTGGAACCTAATTCTTAGGTATAACTGGAACAAGTCTTGGTGAGAACCTGCCCTGCAGGTTCAAGTGCAAATTCACTATTATATAGAATTAGTTACTTGTGAAGAAGTGACTATTGCTCATTAGAATGGTCAGCTTTCCATGTTATTTCATCCAAATAATGTATATATTATTTGTTTATAGGGTTACTATACACTTATATTGAGTGTCTCTAAAACCCCCTTCTTCATTCCTTTTAGCTTCCTTGGCTCATATAAAGTTCTGATACTCAAACTGCCTATATCACTACCAACATTAAATATTTAACTAAAATTTTATATTTGATGGAATCGTGTAGCTGGTCCTTTTAGGGTCCTTTTAGGATCAATAAAGAAAGACAGAGCAACTTTCAGATACTTATTGAGATCTTCAAATAATTTATTCAATTCCCTCTTTCACCTGGGATACCCTATGGCAACTGTACATCTTACATAGTCACCTTTACTTAGCCAAAAAATCTAATTTTTACTCAATATCAATAGCATATCTCAGAGTTCTTTAAATAGTACATGTATAAAGATACTAAGAGGGAAAAGTATGGCATAGGTATTTTTTATGTGCAAACTATGTTTCTTTTGCTCAGAATTGTTAATATTTTCAATATGAGAGACATACTTTCCTTGTGTAAGCAAAGCATCAGAAAGGAAAGGTTAATTAATCATGGCTAAGGATCTGCTCCTTATTCTCTATTCCCACACAGAATAGAAACAAAGCAAAGTATCACACAATATTTGTATTAATCTAAAGTCATAAAAACATTGTTGGGAGGCAAGCATTCCTCTTTATATATGGACTGTTTTCCCCAGAAGTCAATGCAGGTAATCTGCAGTCATATTTCACATGAAGCAGATTTTGGCTGAATCTCAGTTGCAGGTAATTTGGCATTTTATTTGTAAAACAGCTTCAGCAAATTCTGCATAACTTTATGGGATCAAGAAGGGTTCATTTTTTACCTTGTGCAAGGAACATTAATATAACAAAATCATCAAGCATAAACTATCTAAATCTAATAAAAATATATGTATTTCTCACCTTCTGTGCTCGTAAACTGTAGATATGTGAAGTAGTTTTTCATTTTAAGTTTCCCTTCCTCACACCTCTGCAACTATCCAAACAAACCAAACAGTCCGACTCCGCAAATGAAATTAAATTAATATATCAGGTTGTCAAAAACTTAATAAAAAAAAGAGGGGACTTTTATTATCAATCAGTGGAATCCATTAATGCTTAAATATAGCATTTTAGAATGCTTTACTCACCTCATTCATGTAAAGAACTGATCTGACTTTTAGCTGAGTAAAAAAGTGTTTCAAAACTATATGTATTTTTGGTGTGTCTTTATGGGTGAGGAATGCCAGAATATTTGATCTACCTGACATTTCCTTGGAAAGACAGCAGCCTTCATCTCAGGACAAACACACAGGGAACCTGTTCAATTATCGGATCTTTTTCTAATCATATAATGCATCTCATTGAGAGAGAAGAAGACTAATTTACTTTTTAAAAACATTATTTATGAACCCAAGGATTAAAATTAATGATTTGAAATATCAGTTCCTTACTGAAGAAATCTAAACATCCCTAATTGCTGTATTAAGAGAAGTAAGTATACACCAATATATATATATATATATCTGTATAGAGGTATGTAAAAGAAAAATCTGAGTCTTGTACAACATTTAGTATCTAAAGCTGTCATTTTCTCTCCAGATTTTGGCCTGAAATGTCACCTGTGACCACTGTTTACATCTGTTCTAGAATTACTGACAGTCTGTTGGGACACCACCACCATATAGCTCTGTCTGTTATTATAACAAATGCAGTAAGTGCGTTCATTACTTTATGAAGGAAGTATCTCTATCATGCAGCCACAAAGAAAAATGTACTTGAGAGTATGCAGTATGGTACATGGGTGGAAGCAATCCTATGTTTTTCTTCATATCGCACTCCTCACCTCCAGATTTGATCTACTGTATTTACTTAACCACTTCATATTTGGGAATACACGCTGAACATTTTTTCCCATCACTCTACACAGACCTTTCCATACTGTTTAAAGTGCTCGAGCTTTCCTTGATTTTCTGATCTCCCAGAGTCGTTAACCAATTACAGCTGGGATCAAGGCCAAAACCAGCTAAGTATCACAACTGAAATTATCTCAAGCGGTACCTTCATTAAACTGCTGAATAATCTTTTTTTTAGGCTCCAGATAAACATTGGTAGTATTTTCTCACACCTTATGCCTTCCTAAAGGTCCTTCATTTTTGCTTTATTGTTTATGTTCTTTTCATTTTATAAAGCTTCCTAGAGGAAATGAGGTGACTTCCCACCTCAGCTACATTAACTGCAAATTAGGATAGCCCTCTTCCTTCTCAGACTTTCTCTGGAAAAAATGGAAGTTAAATTATATTATGGTCTCTGTACAGCTTGCCTCCAAATCACTAGAAGCAGCAATTTCAGCAGATCCTGGACTGTGGTTTCATTTTATTTTGTAGTGTCTCTGGATCATTTTATATTTCACAAGAAGAAAAGCAATTTTTTGCAGTTTACCTACTTCTAGGACATACCAATAGCCAGACTTGGTCTTCTATGCAGTATTTCAAACAAGAGGTCTATGACATAGAATGACCTAGCAACAAATTAGGTTAAACTGTTTCTTGTTAAACAAATGTTTCTTCCTCCTCACTGCTTATATTTGGAAGGGCTGGCTTTTTCTTCTCTAAAGCAATTCAGTTTCCTCCCTTACTGTGAGTTTACTGCTGATACAATATTTTGAGAAAAATAAAATCTTATCTCAAGAGTTTTGATATTAAAAGAGGAAAATTCTGTTCTCAACTAGGAAAACTTATCTGATTTTCCCACTGCAAAAATACAGATAAAAGCAAAACGCATTACAGATGGAAATGCCAAAGAGCAGCAGAAGGAGCTATTACACTATATTACATTGATTTCTTAATTTACATTTATTTATTCTTCTGCTTCACAGAAGAGAATATTGCAGAGCATTCTTTAAGTTGGTAAAACTTGGCCATCCCTGCTGCTTGATAAAGTGCTCCACCTCAAATGAAATGTTTGGGGTGAAAGTGTTCTTATCTGACTCTTGCTGAAGATGTATCTGCCCTCAAGAGATGGGGAAGATAACAGTGTTTACAAAAGTGGATTTCAAGAACATGCATTACAAAGACGCTCGCATATGGATGCAGTCACACACTATCACAGCACCAGTAAGTCATTGTAACAAAGCTTTTAATGTCATTTATAAAAAAATAGAGTTATTTACATTTGCAAGTTATTTGATGGCATCCTCTTTTATTACAATGTTTGAATCTGTAAGGAAATGTGACACTAACTCATTTGAGAGTAAACTTCTCAATGATAAGCATAACAGTACAGGAAAAATATTTAAAACACTGTGAATTCCTGTTATTTTGCAGCATCATACAAACACAGTCTTTACAACACATGCACCCTGGCCTTACAGTAAGCAGAATTCCCTTCCAGATTAAGGCACAGAAACTCTGCCACATTTCTAGGGACAGTCCCACATTCTTACATGTGGAATTTCAAAACATAACCAAAGGAATTACTCTAATTCCAATGGGTTGTAGCAGAATGTGTCCACTTACACATTTTTAAGAAAACACTGATCAAAGGGACCAAGAGAAAAAATGTATGACTAATTGCATAGTTGCAGTAAACCAGACCCATGAATACAAAAGCCATCAAAATATATTATAAATCTATCTGACTTTCAAAGCTACTTTAAAATACTGTTTTGCTTTACAATACAAATAACACTGTTTGGGGTTAGTTTGTAGAATTGTATTTTGGTCCATGCTGTTAATTCTATATCATTATATTCCTCTTCCATTAGTTTAAATGCCTCAGAACAGCAGGTCCTCAGGCAGTGGTAAGAATGATGAAGCCAAGTCTTAGACTTCAGCTGCTGCAGTCAGTTCATAAAACCTCTAATTTCAACCACCTCCATTATTTACTGCTTTAAATAATCTGCCCTCAGAACACTAAGGGAAAGAATGATGAGGGATGCAGATTTAACACTGTTAGAGATGGGGGTTTGCCCCATCTTCTAGTCCTGAGCTGATAAATCACAGCTCTTAAAAATATCCAACCCATTAAAAAAAATAAAAAAAAAAATCAACAATAAGAAATCCTCAATTTAGTCTGACTACGCAGTAGTTCCACATAATCTGCTGGCAGTAGAAACTTCTTTGGTGTCAGAGTCAGGTCTTCCTGAAACCACAAACGGCCAAGTCTGTATGCAAAAAAAAAAAGGTATTTCATATTAAATATAAAGAAAGTTTATCCTCGTATGAAACTGGAGCTTTATTACTGATAGATGTCTAACTCTGGTTCAGTTGCAAACACGTCATCATGTTTTAGTCCCTGTGGGAAGCACAGAGAGAGCTGAGTTCCTCTAACAAATATTTTCATTACGTTTTTCACTATAATTAAACGCTCCACAGAAGGTTTGCAATAGTCAGCAACAATGTTCACATCCAAACTGCAACATTTCTCTTGCTCTGAAACCTCGCGTCATTTAATAAATATAAAGCACGTAAACTATTCCAAAATAATCACTCTGCTGCAAATAAGAAAATGTTTTAACCCTGTGACAAGCATCGGGCATTTAATTTTGCACCGATGAACTCATGACGCTCTGCTTGTGCTGCAGGCCAGCCCGCAGACGGAGTTACTCCTTTTTCGGACACTAAGCTTGCCTAATGCCCAAGGAATGTAATCTTTAGGGTCCCCTATTCCGACTCCCCAGGACTGACACACCCGCCATCACCGAAGGCTAAGCGCGGCCCCGGAGTCGCCCACGGTGATTGAGGATTTGCAGAGCAGCCACGGCCGCTCCGCAGCTCCTTCCAGGGCGGGCACGGCCTGAGCGCTGCCCCCCTGCCCGGGGATCGGCTCCAGCGGTGCCCGGGGATTCCCCGGGGGCGCCCCTCGCCGCATCCCGCCCGCCCCCCGCGCCGTACCAGGTTGACAGGATGGACGTAGCCGTTCTCGTAGCGGTCCTCCTGCAGGAGCTGCCGGAGGTGGGCAATGTAGCTGGACGCCAGACGCAGCGTGTCCAGCTTGGAGAGCTTGGTGTCGGGCGGCACCCAGGGCAGGCTCGTCTTCAGCNCCTGCGGAGCCCCGCGCCGGGGGCGGCGCCTCTCCGCGCTGGCCCGCGGTCCGGCTGCTGCGGCGGTGCGCAGAGCCAGACCCCTGTGTGGGGACACACACGCGCGCATGGGGGTACACGCGGGACGTCTCCGTGTCTGTCTGTGCTCTTGGGCATCCCGCCTTTCTCACTGCTCAGACCCCTCTCCTCGCCGCGGAGAACATAAATTATCTCCAGGGATGGTCCCGCCAGTGTTTGCGCGGGGACGAGCGCACCTCTCCCTGTGTCCACGGGCTAAGCGCGATCCGGTGCTCTGCTGCCAGCTCACCTACACTCATTCTTTCTCTTGCCCTTCCTTCGAGGGCATGGGATTTTCCCACCGTATGAACCCCGGCGCAGCCGAGCGCTGCGGCAAGACTGGACCTCAGCCCGCTGGGCTCTTTCTTCCCCGGCTTGCCCAGCCTCGGGAAGCTGCTGTGCGGCCCCGGTGCCTCCGCCGGGGCGGGAGGAGCAGCAGGAGACGCGGCACCGGGGGCTGGGTGTGCGGTGTGTGGTGAGCAATACAAAAAGTCGCTGGAATGTGCGTACTGTGGTTTGATAGCGTCCTTAGTTTCGGGTGAAGCTCCAGATAGCAGCGAATGAATATAATTTGTCCGAGGGTTTCTCCCTCCTCAGAGCAATTAATTAAAACCTATTTAATTGGGCTATGTATACCTCTGTCGCAGGGCAAATTAAACGAGACAGCTTTCCGAGCTGCTTGCAGGTTTCTAAAGCAAATTCTGTAGTTAATTTTTTTTTATTATAGGGTCCACGGGTGAATGGAGGACCTTGTATCCAATGGAAATGCTGGCATACAAATTCAACAGAGGCATAAATAAAAAAAAAATATTGTTAAAAAATTCAACTATCTACTCGTATCCCTCGCACCTCCCCCCAAACCTCCCTTTTGCACACACGAAGAACTAGCGTTTGTTTCCTTGCTGGCTTTCTGAGCTTGGATACGATTAACTGGAATAGAAATGTAGTTCTCAGAAAAGAACTTAATGACTACAACAGGTGGAAAGACCTTGTCCCGCAATTTCTGTTCACGGTTTTTCCCTTCCGTTTCCCTCCCTACCGAGTGGAACCTTCCCGGCTGCTGCCATGCAACTTTCCTGGCACCGCCAGCCGCCTTTGGGCCCAGAGCTTTGCTCCCCTCCCCACCAGCCCTGCGGGCTCGCTGAGGCCGCTTAACGCTGTGCAAACCCCGACTTCACCCACTGGGGCTAGAACCACATCAGAGTCGGGTTTAATGGCAGCCTTTCCAAGCGAAACTTGACATTTCTTGAACCACCTATGCAGACAGCTGATTTTGCAACTGGATCTCTTGAACTTGATTTGACACTATGGTAGATGCTCAGGCTGGGTCCCACATGCTGCACGGTGAAAGGGCAGCACACTGGTCTTGGGGATTGCTCTCTCTCCCCAATTAGACTGCATTATCTGCATATATATATATATATATATGTACATAAAGATACTGCAGGGGAAGAGATATAGGTTTACTTTTTCCCCCCCATCTGGGTTGTTTATACAGGTGCAGGCTGAATGCTTTCACTGCTAAAGATTAATGGAAGAAAGTACTGAATTTCTTTAAGCAGAGAAGAAAGTGGTACCCGGTCTTAAAAGCCACAATGTCAAACCTCACCTTTCCTGCCTGCTTCTGCCTTGGCGGATGAATGGACACCTTGACTCATTTAATGAAAGCACTGGGGGCAGTAGGATGAGCTGAATCCTCAGATCGTCTTTGCCTGCTTCTTGGTTAGTGAAGGAAGCGGGAAATGCAGCGGAGTAAATCTGAAGTCAGGATTTACTTCGGTTTTACATCTGATGTAACTGAGCAGACCTGACTCCTCTCACATCTATCAAACCACTAATTTCTGCGACCCTGACGAAGATATCATTTTCAGGATAAAGTCTTTGATGGGGCCAGGGCATTACATCATGCTTCCATTTGTCAAGACTTTGATCCTTTATGATCTCTGTGAGCTGAGTAAGGAAAGCCCCTGGTATATCAAGGTAGCATTTTATGCTTTACCGTCATCAGGTGCAGTCCCTTTCCCCTTTCTTCTTTAAAAGACAAAACCCCGAACTGTGCCCGAGCTCCGAGGCAGCATCCTTCCCTGTTCCACAGTCTATCCCTGCACACTGGGCGAGGTTCAGGGGCAGCCTGGGTTTGCAAAGTCTGCGGTGTGTGCTTGTAAAGGGATTGGAGCAGCAGCTAGAACAGCTCCTACATGGAAAGCAGCTGCAGAGACTCCCACCCCCAGAGAGCTTTGCCTCTGCCCCGTTGTTAGCCCTGAGGACACAAAAATCGGCTTTTCTCCACTGAGAGGAGATCCCTGAACTGGGGAGGCTCATTGGGGCCAAGTGGGCTTTTTTCCTCCCACTTTTCCACCAGGCATTTAGGTAAACAAATGCAACCAAGCAAAGAGGAGTCCACGAAAAGCAGATCTCTTCTTGACTTTTTGCAGTAAGTGAGGGTGTTCCATGCCGCAGCTAAGGACCGGCGAGGATGGAGAACATCCCCGGACAGGCCGGGAGGCGCCTGTGCCCGGGAGCCGCCGCTCCCGCGACAAAAGCGCGGCCCTAACAACCCGGCGGATGCCTGGGATGTTGGAGGGTATAATCCTCTCATTTCCTTCCTTGAATTTCAGAACAAATTATAGCAAAAGACAAAAGAGGAAAAAATGACCGGAGGCCAAGTCTGTAAAACGCGGGTTATCTCCGAGAATGGGAGGGCGAACTGCTAAAAGCCCCATGTCTTTCACCCTCATCCTCTGATGGGGTGTTGGCAGAGACAAAGCTGGGTGGAGGAAGATGATGTGCTCTCGATAAAGTACTTTAAATACGGCTTTTCCTTGGCATTTCTCCTTTCCTCGAACTCAGCAGTTATCGAGTTCGCCCCACCCGAAGTATGCTACACTTTCTCAGAAAGACCTAAATGTAACAAGGGCTTTTTTTATTCGTTTTTCCTGCGGTGGTGAGAAAGGCGTGATGCCCGGAGGAGAGGACTGCGTCTGACAAATGCGCTCGTCTTCATCTACTTACAAGCATTTACAGCACACATCCAGGCTGTGTGAAGGCCGTGCAAGGCTTCTGCCACGAAGTGATGGATGATGGAGATGGCTGGTCTAGTAGGAAAAGCAGGTGGATGAATGATAACCTTTGCTTAATGCAGCTTGGAGCAAAGACGACTCATCTTGGCTCAGATTTCTCTGTAAAAGCACAGAACGAAGGGAGAAGTGTGTGATTGTTCCTCATTCTCCCAACAATCTTGCCTCCACTTAAAACCCCTGTACCTGGAATGATCTTTTCTACAGCCAGTGCCCCGGGTACCTGTCCTTAGCCCGAGGTCTTGCACGGCTCAAGGCACCATTAAAGGATTCCCTTGTTTTTTTGTCGCTTTACTAAGAAGGCAGCGCCGTGGTGCCCGTGTCCTGGAATCCTGGCAGCCAGCTCTGTGGGGATACTCCATGTGAACTAGCCCAGGGGATCTCGAAATCATCACGGGAGAAGGCAGAAACGGAGGAGTTGCTGGAAATGAGTGCGTGTATCTTAGGAGCAGGATGGACTTCCCTAGAAAGTGGCTTTCCACCATATAACAAAATCAAAAATTACTCTGTGGGTCAAGCCATGTCAAACAAAGCACACAGGAGATGATGATAAATGAACCTCTGGAAAAAAAAAAAAAAAAAAAAAAAAAGAATTTACTAGAATTTATTTTGCCTAGCGAGAACAAACCTTGCCATCAAGGGGCATGCTCGATGATTCAGTTGTGAAGGGACTACAAGCCGAGGTTAAACCCCTCCTGTCCGCCCCTCTCCTCGCTCCCTGCGAGCTGGGGCTGTCCCGTTTCTGTTCCCGGGAGCCTCTCCAGCTGCGGGACGGGCAGAGCTCTCTCTCTCTTGCCTCGGGGGCGGGGGTCTCTGCTTGGGCCGAGGAAACCCTCGGCTCCAGGAGGAGAACACGGCCGGAGGGGGTTGCTGGCCCACAGGAGTGCAGCAGTCACTGGTGTCCTGAGTGGACGGCTGCAGGGCAGGTTTTACCTATGGGCTATGGTGAGGGTTCGTGCTTCTCGCTCTGCAACCCTGAGCATAGGCGGAGACATGCTTTTAAATTTAAAATAAAAAAGGCGAATAAACAACTCTTCCACCGTCAAAACCCCCAACCAAACCAACCAAGGAAAAGCCCACCAAACAAACAACCAACCCCCCGTGTATGTCCTCCGAGCCGCTAATTCAGCCGAAGGGGATCCCGCCCCGCAGTGCGAGATGAGCGCGACTTCCCCGAGGAAAGAAATCGCTCCCTGTTAGCGGCTTCTTCTCCCCGGCATTTCTTGTGCAATAACCTTAACGAGATATTATCCAGTGTGATCGTTGCTTTGCCCGGATTTTGGCCAGCAGTGAATTTTGCTCAGGTATCCCCAACTTTCAGCAAGATTTCCCCTGTGGAATAGCCAGGCAAGCTCTCTAAATACCTCCTGGCGCCAGAAGAAAGTTCTCATGTAATAGATACCCGTTGGTGTGAGAACACGGATTCTGCTCACTTTGTCAATCAGCCGGGGGGAGGAAGGGGATTGGGGGGAGGGGGAAGGGGTTCCTTTAATTAAAAAAAAAAAGAAAAGTATTTTTTCATTAATTCTAAATTTTTTAATGGTGCCAGGAGATATGCAGTTGGTCAAAAAGGATCAGAATTAACGGCGCTGTTTCAAACCCAGTTTATTTCTTCTCTTGGAGCAAATTAGCTGGAATAACAAGCAAACATCAGGCAAGAGGAAACACTGTGTTAGTCTCCTCCTTGTGTTTCACTCTGAGAGGGAAGCCCACCAGAGCAAGACGGAAGAGATGGGGAGAGATAACACCAGCACAGCGCTTCATTATGCTTGAATGTTCCAGCACGCTCGCTGCTCTGGCTGGGCTGCAGCAGGGCAGACGGAGGAGTGCGGCTGCCCCAGGAACCACTGGTGAGGGCACTGAGGGCTCTCAGCCGGGGCACACAGCCGGTGAGACAGCTCTGGGGGCAAGAGGAGGGAAATCACTGCCCAGAGTTAGCCAGAGTCAAAGAGAACTCCGCCACTCTGGCATCACG